ACGCGAGAATGATGCGAGTGTGATTTTATATATATATATATATGTATATATATATATATGTATATATATATATGTATATATATATATATATATATACTACACACACATACATACATCTTTCGGACAGGGTCAAAGATCCAAGGTGCTCAATACACCTCGATGCCCAATCGAGCCGGTGACCACTACCACAACCGGAAACGTGTGGGTGTGGTTCGTACGCTTCCTCTTTCATTTTAGATATCGTTTTGTGGCAGATTAAAGTCACCTGTTTGACTTCAAACGCGAAATTTCAATCAATCAAACATTACTTGAACAATTCACCCCGTCTAAGAAATTCATTAGGTGAATTCTAGGGTAAACCTGTCATGATAATCAGCATATGTGATGCTGCCTGGTGGATTCTATAGGCATCTGTAAGTTGGATGGGTGATCCCAATGTGGAAGGATCAGTACAGTATTGGTGTGACTCCTATTTTTCCGTTATTACTGATCAAATGTGAGCATTATGCGCGGACAAGCGTAACCAGACAATGCGACAAAAATGGGATGATATTAAATAGTTCAGTGCTGTTACTGTTTTACTTCGTCAAGGCAGCGAGTGCCTGGTCGAGAAAAGTTGTTTCTTACGAATAACTGTCAGGGTATCGATAAATTGTGATTCATACAACAAAATCTCATTTGGAACGAGTCTGCAGAATTCTTACACGCACACAGAGTAGATGTTGAAATGGTCCACTTTTAGATGCGCATTCTTGTATTCACCATACGGAACAGCAGCAATTCGCTCCGCGGTCACCCACTGGAGCAAGTGGTCGACCTGCATAGATTACGTTGGTTGGGGCATGTGTTACGCATGTCACCAAATAGTTTGCCACGGCGAGTGATGTTCGTCGAGACAAGTAGTGGGTGGAAAAAAGTAAAGAATGGCGAAGCTTTCTTTGCAGCCATAGTTTACTGGAGTTCTCAATTTTCTCTTCGACTCTACCTTCAACTTTCCTGTTCTTCTCCTATTAATCATCCAAATGGGCAGCCGAAAGACAGCAACCAAAACTGGCGCACGAAAGTGCATGGTTGATGGTTGTTCAAACTAAAACTGTTCATTTCTGGCCGTTGAAAGAAACCGTCGATCACATCTTTTGGCAAACTACTCACAAGTGAGTAGTATCTCACAACACGGCCACTCACATAAACCGATCGCCTCGAGCTGCCGTCGTGGAGTCTTGTTAGATTTATATACATCAAGGACATGAAATGCACCGTCCGTTTCTAGTTTTGATGTGAAATTAATAGCATTATCAGCTTTGTTGGAAATTTCTGTCCGCTTTGCCAATGAGATTTCGTTATTCATCACGACAAAACCAACAGGGACCGGCCAACATATTCACTTTTTAAGTTTCGTGCCAATTAGGCGTTCAACGCCTAGCAGAACGTGCAAGAAGAATTTGATTGCACGACAGTTTTGATCAAGAATTAGAAAATCTCAAGAAAATTTTACTGAATAATGGCTATCCAGAGCGTTTCATTGAAAACAATTCATTGGAGTAATAATAATAGTAATAGTGAACTAGTCACATGATTGGTAGAAAAAACAACCGTCTGAACCTTTACTGCCGCCTCACTACGCACCCATTTCGTGAGCCGACCGGTGATGTTCGTGAAACTTGAGGATAAACTGCCTGTCGATGCCTCATCCATGATCAACTACTCTTTTCTTTGATAATGTTCGGCAAGATACGTAGGCAGAACGACCAGACATTTGTCCCCAAGAATCAAAGAACACAAACCGGTCTGGCGGCGTTCAGGCCCAAGGAAAACGATTTCAAGTGCAACCTCGCGAATACCGGGCATCAGGCTGACGATGACGCACTTCGAATCATCTACAGGGTACCACCGAACCCTTCAAACGCCGTCCGTGAAAGTCGTCTCGCAAAAACCGAAACCGTGAACATTCAACTGCTTTTGCGGTCATGTGCTTCTGCGAAATTTTGTCCGGTCATGCAAATACTACTCATTATAAAAACACTGTAAACCAGCCCGAGCGTCGAGTTGTCTGAGGTTAGACGCATCTAACCCACAACAAGTGATACAGAATCACCACACTGATTCTTCGAGACTTATTCATCTCAAATCCACTCCGCGAGCTGCAAATACCTGACGAGCGGCAAGGACTGCGAAACCGGTCGTGTGCTTCTGGGAAATTTCAAGCACTACAACTCCCGGCTTCCCCAGCAGCAAACATGCCACCAACGAGCTTACCGACAGTTAGAGCTGATTATTACCACTTCTTAGTCGAGCCATACATTCATCTGTCATTTGACAAGGTTGGCTTGTCTAGATTACCTTTCCCCGCCTTCACCCTCTCATGTTACTGAAGGATGAAGTGAACTGCATGAGGCTCTTCCAGTGATTCTTGTTCACCAACAATGGTCATAGCACTGGCCTGAGGACAGACACACATTCATGTACAATTCGTGCTCTAATGGATCCGAGTGAACCGAACTCGACCGAGGTGTTTTGTTGACGTAAGGCAATGTCCAAAGGACTTACATAGTCTGGGATACTGGGTCGTTGACCGGAGAGAACTTGTTGAGCCAAATGGAACCGGGTGGATGCGCACTGCTTGTACGCCGGTTCCAGTTTGATGAGCTCGCACATGATGATCCCGGTGGAGTAGATATCCACCTGACAAGGCAGAGCGGATAGGGTGGAAGAAGAGAATAGATGTGATGAAACTCGATAAAGTATCTGTCTCAGAGAAAGGACAGATAAAACTGAGACAGTGGGGTCGCACGGAAGGCCAGTTCATGATAAATATCTACTAATCACATTTCAATCATTAACCCGAATGCATCCACATCTGAGGGATACCTGATAGGAGTCCTTGACTGTTTTTATGCGGCCATTTCCTGTGAAGGGTAGGTTGTTATCATGGCTGCCACGGGTTTCGGCTGCCCAGTGGCGACGAGTGGAGACTAGGTTGAGGCAAATGGTAATTCAGTTTTGGCACGAACGACAAGAACTGCGAACTCAACGAAGATTCATGGGTTCGAAGGATGTTTTAATAGATGTAAGGCTGCGTCTTCAACTAACCAACCTGTCGTATGAAAGCACCAATTCAGACATGGTACTGAGGCGAGGCAGACGTGTTAAGTTCAAAATCGTATACGAATTAAAATCATATATGTGTGTTTGCTGGTCAATAGTGTAGGCTTTTAAACAGTATGATGAATCGATTAAGATATTTACGACAAAATTGACAAAATCGATGAAAACTAAGTCACTTACGGTACTTGCTTCATATATTGGCCATCAACTACTGTT